AATGTACTTATGTACTACATATAAATAAATCTGACATTACATTACACGAGGCTATAATTTTGACAGTTCATTAATATATATTAACAATCCGTTGGGTTAAGCCCATATCAGACTACGTATTAAAGATTGAAGATTGGAATTTAATTAATCAGGACAGAAGACTAAAATTTCTTTGTTCTGTTTAGTCAAATTTCAATTTTAATTGTTAATGCATGGTTTGATACGAGCTTTATATAAGCTTTATATATGGCGTCTAATCAACATTTATAAGACATCTACAAGACGTCTAATAGATGTGTCTAATAGAAACCATTTTGACGTCTACCGAGATGCAAAAATCAACTTATTTTAGATCTATCGAATAGACGTCAACTAGACATCTATTCGACTTTACGTTTCTCCCTGGGTTAACTTATTTTATTTGATACATTATTAAAAAATTTGTTTTTTATTTAAAAAGTTAAAGGCGTGCGTGCGTGCGTGCGTGCGTGCGTGCGTGCGTGCGTGCGTGCGTGCGTGCGTGCGTGCGTGTGTTAATAATATGGGATCAGTAATTGAATATAATAATATTATACTTACACGGAGAGTATTATTGTTCCATGTCCATTTTCATCCACATCATATGTGATCTGGAACGATCCGGGGACATAGCGTTGCATTTCTTGCACCAAAGTTTGAAAGCGGTGCATTGTGTTAATCAAAGTGTCCACACGGAACAAAAAGCTCTAATGGATATCCACTAGATGTCCATCATGGAGATTCGAAACCTCTATTAGATGTCTATGTAATCTCCTATAAATGTCTACTAGACATCCACAGTTCCGCATTACATACCTCCATTCGACATCCATTAAATATGTTCATAGATATCATATGGAGCAATCATAATGTTCCATAGATATTTCATAGAGCTGATAGATTGTAGTTTCAATTCGTCATTAAAAAATTATTTAGGAAGTAAAGTCACAAATATGATTGCGAAATAGTCTTGTTATATAGGTGTTAACAGAATGTCACGACTGTGAGACAGTCGAGAACTGTGAGACAGTCGAGAACATGATGAC